GGGGAGAGTGGGGAGGGGGGGGTTGGGCCCGGGCCCCCTGCCGCTCATACCCCAGCTCTGGCAAAGAGCCAGGCAGGGCTCTTTCCTCTGCCATCCACAGAAGGGGAAACTGAGGCACAGGAGAGCGCTGTGGCTTCTTTTAGGAGCACAGCTGGGTATAGAACCCAGGAGTCTAGGCGCCAAGCCCCCTGCTCTAACCCCTACACACCGCCCTCCCCATCCCAGAAGTGGGGCTAGAACTTGCTCCCAGCCCCTCCCCGCACTAACCACTAGCCCCCACTCCCCTCCCAGATCTGGGGCCTCAGCTGCTCACACTCAATTAAGCTAAGAGCTCAGCAGTTTGGCCAAGGCATCTGGCCCCTCCCCTCTTCTCCGGCTGACTGCAGCAGCCTGCCCTGGAGAGGCCAGTAATTGGCAGTAGCCTTGGCTACCGGGGAGGTAACCCAGACAGCCGCCCTCACTGACGCCAGGTGCCCGAGTCCCCTGGGGTCCTGCCCCTGGCAGCTGGCGCGTGTGGCAGGAGCCAAGCAGGCCTGGGGTCAGTGCCCCCCTCATCCCTGTCTTTGCCCCTCCCAGGGGCTGCCTGGCATCAGGCCACTGTGCCCCCAAATCCCCCCTCCCGTGAGCCAGGAGCCAGGGGGCTGATGGCAGGGCCACCCCCATGCAAGGAGCAGATGAGATGAGGTCTGAGAGTCCCTGGTTGGCTCTAGGTGAACCCCGGGAGCCAGGACTCCTGGGTTCTCTCCTCCGCTCTGGGAGGGGAGTGGGAGCTAGTGGTGAGAGCAAGGGGGAGCTGGGATTTAGGGCTCCTGGGTTTTATTCTGGGGGAGGGGAGGGGGCCAAGGGGTTGAGTGTGAGGGCTGGATTCTGTCCCTACCTCTGGCTCGACATATCCCCTCCCCCCCCATGCACTGCCGCTGCTCTGCCTCAGTTTCCCCACTCTGAACTGGAGCAGGGGCCTTTCCCCTGCCCGAGAGGGGAGCTGCCACATCTGCTGGGGCAGCGAGAATGAAAAGTGCCAGGCTGGGCGACAGGTGCTGCCCTCCACATGGGGTAGGGAGAGAGACTGGGCCAGGGATGAACCTCACTCGGGGAGTGGGGTGTGCCTGAGAGGCAGGGCCTGACCTCCCCCCTCTGTCTTTCCAGGAACCTGGAGAAGGAGATCTCCTTCGATTTTGGCCCCCAGGGGGAGTTTGCGTATCTCTACAGCCAGTGCTACGAGCTCTCCACCAACGAGTAGGTGCCGGCCGCGGGAGAGCTCCCCTCCGGAGCAGGGCGCCCTGTGTCCGAGCCAGCCTGCTGCCGGATTCCAGCTTTGGCTCGCAGTCCGCACCCAGCCCCTGCGCCGGGGTCCCCTGGCCCCCAGCGTCACAGTGCTAAGCTAAGGGCCCGGAGCGAGCTGCCAGATCCCGTGGGGCCTGTCGCATCCCTGCTGGGTGCCTCAGTTTCCCCTTTTGGGTGGGGGTCCGGGTGGTCCCTTGTGCATAGACCTGGCCGTTGAGACATGCGCAAGGGGAGTGACCTTGGAATCCCGGTGTGACAGTGGCGGAGCTGGACATGGAACCCAGGACTCCTGCCCCAGCACGCCGCTGTTCTAACCACTAGCCCCCACGCCCTCTGAGTCCCGACTCAGCCTGGCACCTCTCCAGACTGCGCCTTCGCCTCTGCGTTACCGGCGGCACTGGGCTGCCGTTGGGTTCCTGCCTACCTCCGCGGGGCGCCCCCAGGGGGTTGCCCGGCTTGGGCTGGGGGGCAGCAGGGCTGTGCCCAAGCCAGCGGTAGGTCGGCAGTTTCCTTCCTGTGGCGTTGGCACTGGGTCCTGTGTTCACGAGCCAGGCTGGCATCCCCCCCTTTCCCTCAACCGGCCCAGGCAGGCCTGTCGCTCTGGCTCTGGGCCTCTGGCCGGGCTCCCCAGCAGCCGGCCGGTGATGACGTGGAAGGCGAGGCGCATTCGGCACAGCACCTCCCAGAGAGGAGCAGAAAAATCTGCCCCCCCCTTTCAAAATGGGTCTGACTTGGTGCATGGGGGCAGGGTGATGCTCGAGGCCTGGCTCTGCTCCGGGAGGAGGGGGGGCATGTGGGAGTCACCAGCCCAGTCCTCCTTTACAGAAAGCGGGGGGGGGGGGG